TCAGTGAGCAGGTTCTGATCGCCGACCTGTCGCAGTCTGCCTCAGTCCCCCAACAGCCTGAGCGGCCCTTGGTAATCCGGGCGACGACCGAGCCAGGATAATTTTCGATGGCGTCAATACCATGAGTGGCAGGTGGCTAAATTTTAAGGAGACTTGCCACGTTTTCCTACTCTCCTTCTTTTTCAACCGGGCCTGGTACCGGCAACTGCGGAGTTGGCAACTAACTACTATTAAAATTAATAGTTGTCGTGAGCCAGGGTGAAATTACTCAATGAAACGGAAAAAACTGCAGGATCATTTCTCTGGCCATTCTCTAGGATAAAACCAATGGATATCTGAAAGTAGATTTCGAGGATATGCAATGTATTGGGCTTAGTCTCAAGATAGCGGCATTCGCCTCGGTTGAATCCCATTCTTCTGTCCTTGCACTCTGAAACCTCTGGGTCTCATACCTGAAATATGGTTCAAGTGTGTTTCAAAGACATTGAAATGCTTTACGACATTGAGCATCGATTGAAAATGTTGAGCACGTTGTGGCAGAACATTATCTATGGACAGCTACTAGTTCATCAAATTCTTACACGAACGTTCATGTATTATTCATCACATCCTTATTTGGAAGTATGTATTCTGATTAATGGCATGATATTCGACGTTTTTCAAAATGGCTCTTCACTCCGTGAACAGTGCGATTCTCATTTCTTTCTACCATTTTAATTGACTGAATCAGAATACGAAAACTAGATGCATAAGTGTCAGAATAGGAAAAGTTTCATTAAGTCGTCTGCTGCTTGGAGATGATTTCTTCGCGCCAGCTTTCCGTTATGTTTACATTCAGTGCGCATTGGTACGCTCGCTGCTGTCTATGTTGATGGGATGGAAATCAGACTGATTTAAATTGAAGCTTTCATAGCCGATAAACCTCTGTTTCGTGAATGCCACTCATTGACCTAACAAAACTGAGACCGATGATCAGTAATTCATATCGGTGGTCTCGCCACACGACAAAAGAGAATAGCTCCGCGGTTGACAGCTAGTTGATGAAATAGAGTTGCTGGTGACTTTTGCATAGTAGCGCTTAAGATGAAATCGTATCACGTGATATTTTGGAATTGCCGTTGATTCTTCTCATAGAATGTCTGTATGTAGCCGCCTTTCCATGCAGCCGAGTACAGATCTCGATTCCAAACAGCAACACCAACAGCCTGCAAGATTCGTTACTTGCATTTCGGCTTACTAATGCAGGGCACTCGATGACCAAAAACAAGAGCATGCGTGATCAAAACCCAAGATTGTCCAACCTTATCATGACCATGATCAATAACTCGTTAACCAACAGCATGGCCAAGCGCACACCCTTGGTTCCAGACTTCACTGCAACTGCTGACCACACAACCAACAGCAGAAGTCAACCCGGACTATCTTGAAAAATGCTCGTGAGAAAAACCGAAACGTGACAAAGCGAAACGTTGGTAATGGTGAACAAACGTTTGTTTTTTTTTGCATTGTATATAAATAAACCGTTTTCATACATTTTTTGGTTTTCAATATGAATACCAACGGAAGAATAAATTACTTAATTACTTTAAATACGGATTACCATGAAAAGTATTGCCGACAGTTTAAAAATTACTTTATATTCGTTTCCATTGTTGAGCCCTTGTTTCCATCAGCTTTCGCCTCAATACGTCCACTTATAATCGTCCTTTCGCAAAACTGTTGCCACTCTTTCCTGTAACTCCTTTCCCTCTCATGCTGCAATCCCTGTCATCCAATGAAATGGTGTCATTCAGATAAAAATGATTTCATTTCTACATGATTTACTGCACTTCATCGGGCAATAAAAGATGTGATCTTAAATTTAACTAAAACACAAACTTTGCGGTAACTTCGCCGTTAAACATGAACATTATCCTCAATAAAGTTCAGTGAATGCCAACCCTTCTGCAAAATCCTGTAAACCAGAACCACTCTACCAGTTAAATAGTGTCATTCTCATGAGGAGGGGGGAGTTTATCACATTAAAAGTAAAAGATCTATTTATTTATAATGAACAAAATGTATAAATTTAATATCCTGTACCAAGATCCCAAGAGAGAAACTTTCTGCAACCCAAAATTTTGCCCTTACATGCCTCAATATTTGCAATTGTGTTTCGCTTCTTAAGAATTTTAGTCTATTCATTACGATTTTGCAACCTCTTTCTGTATGTTTTGTTGTACTGCAGAAAAAAATTTATTTTTGCAAAGCCTTAAAGTTCGAATGATATAATATTCTGAAACTTATTAACTCCAATTTTAGCAAGTTTCCAAAAGGGGACTAAATTGGTATGTTCATAATATTTTGTGCAGTTTGCCTTCATTCACATTCTTAAAATTTTTCCTTCAGGATCTTTTCAACTGAATGATTAGGCGTTCTTACTAATACGTGTCACCAGTCGTTACCGTCTACATCTAAGGCCAATACAACTTGAACAGTACAGTTAGTCAGATCAGTGACGTATTTGCGTGTCTACGGTAACAATTTTGAGTAACAAGTACGGTTATAACGACTGCTATATAGCTATCGTTTAATTTTTGTGTTTATGGCGGCGTTGTGCGAAGAAGACGGTTATGGCCACTAGCCAGTTATCAAATGCTGATATTGCAGACGCGCTTAAACGAGCTAGAGAAGTAAGGTTTTGGTAAAATTTTGGGAGCCGTTGTTTTTATACTTATGTTTTGCTTTTCTTCGTTTTGCTTGCATTCCTACTTGTGGCTGCTTGATAGATGCTAAGCACAGCGGTGTCGTTCGTATCGTGATCGATCACAGTGCATGCGAATCGTGTAACTTCAGTTTCTCAAAGGGTCTCATTTACTGTTACTTTAGTTAGCTGCTGGGGCTAGAACTCCGAAGTCTACGAAACGGCAGCACGACGAAGGGGAAGAAACCGAACAAGAAGAAGGTAACACGGACGACTTAAGACGCATCTTTTTTTTTGTTTTAGAAAGCGCCCAGAAAAAGACAAATACAATGACAGGAAATCCAATTACGTCTCTTGGGTAAGAAATCGAGAGATTTGTCAATCTGTTCTAAACGTTAGCTGTTTAGTTCTATCAGCGGCATGGATCTCATTACGATTGAACAGTATCAAGTGCCAGACAATTGCGTTGGCCTAAGTAAGTATTGGAGATCATTCCCTCGGACCGCAGGATAGAAATTCTAATGGCACATTCAGCTACACTAATCGTTGGTTAGAAAACAGCATTGTTTGACGTTTCATTGCAGAGGTGGCATGAAATTTTCACAGCATAGTTTAAAGCATTCTGGTTGAAATATTCAGTTTCACTGTTAATTCGATAATGGTTTGTTAATGTCTCAGCGCTATAATTCGTACAGTTTATTAACTTAAAGATAAGTTTAACCGCAAACTGCTTACTAATGGCAGTTGTTACATTGATTAAGTCAAGATATAGAGTTCAAGATTAGGTTAATCTTACGCCCAGTTAATCTTGCAAACTCCCTGTTTTTAGATGGAGGAAAATGACATATGCTGCAGAGATGCTGCATTTAAGATATAGTTTATGTGGTCTCACGTTTCACATTTGTCTGATAAGATGGTATTCTCAAAGTTGTAGTAAATGACAAATTTTCGTTAAAGCAACCATCTTGAGGTCTGCTAACTGTAGACTATGAGAATGCTAATATTGTTATTCCAATATTTTCTGTGATCTTATACTGTCTTATGTTAGTCATGCATTATTTCAGTAATAGTAATATTTCTGTTTGAGAAGTTTGAATAAAGTATAGTTGCCAATAACTTTCTAAGCTTTTTGCAGCCCTAAGGTCAGAATTTGTATTACTCCAAAGGCGGAGATTTCATTCCTGTTTTTATCGTTCTTTGTTCATTTTATCGTTGTTATAATGTTTTATAGTTATTGGAAGAGGTGGTGAAAATATATCTGCAATTCAGAATGACTCCGGGTGCCGAATTCAAATGTCCCAGAGTAGTAGGAAGCAGTTTGCAATTTCTTTTACTTTTTGGGTTTTTAGCACCAGTTCCGGATGATTCTGGTCGAATGATGAGAAGCTGTACACTAACAGGGTCACCAATATCGATTGAGTAAGTTTTTGCAATAGTTACCTACTTAATTTCATGTTTGAATGCATTTCACACTAATTCACTTTAAAGTTTCTGTCTTTGGTAATCGGTTTATATTATTTTTGGCAGTATTTTGTAATTATGCATACAGTATTTTAGAATATAGTGTCTCATGCCTCACCGCATGGCAGTTCACTATACGGGTCCTATACGATTCATCTTTTTAAGTTTTAGAGATTGTGACAGTAAGTTGTACACTGCGCAAATTGATAGCATTGCCTGAGAATTCACTTCAGGTAAGGCTGTGGGAAAATCTTTCATAACGCAGCTTGTATTTTCGAATTTTCGATCAATTTTTGTAGTTTCGAACAGTCGTGTTTGAATCTACTGTCATACTGGTGTTGAAATTCTGATAATATTTTGCTTTACCGGTCAGTGATAAGTATCGATGAATACATATACTTTCGCGTCTCGCAGACAGTAGCGTCAGACAGTGACTAACTTTCCCAGTCATGTGCCACTGCTTGAGCTTTGGCAAAAGATGACCCGAGATTCGAGTAGAGTTCGCCAAGGCACTTTCTGCAGGTCATTCTTGGCTGTCACAGGGTTGTCCGCTGAGCGTGAAGTAATTATTTCGCCTTTTCTAGAAGCATTCGCAAAACTTGTCAAAACCAACGCACCTGTGACTTCTCAATCTACAGAAACTGCGTCTGTACATCAAGGTTTTGTCGATATTTTATTCTCCGGACTCTGTTGAGTTGAATAAGCCAGGCGATTCGCTTCATGCTCATTTCAGATGCTTGTGCCTGGGATCACAGTTTTTGGTCATGACACACCATTCATCACCATAGGGATGAAAGTCGTTCTGAACACATACAGCTTCCTCTTTAGGCTCATCTTTGCCTTAGTCACAGCGGTTCCGGCTAGTTGATGGAGAAAGTAGCTGATCATCCCGATTCGCCGCTCGATTCTTTACTTCCATTATCTATCACCGGTAGACATGACTTCGAAGTGCGTGAATTTTTTTTTGTTCCATTGCTCCTCCGTTTATCTGCAGATCGCAGCGAGCAGAGGAACTAGGAGGTACTGTACCTTTGGCTTTAGACACGTTCAGACTGAAGGCCGGCCACGTCGCACTC